CAAGGGGTCCACTACTTATGAGCCATTACCATGCCAATTTGAAGAGCCATCCTTGTCACTAATCATCCCCTCATTCTGCATATTTCATCACTATAGGAACATCTTCCATTGTCTTGGTATTCACCATAATTGTGTTAGGTACCCCTACAACAACCATTACACCCCCCTTTGGGGTTACATATTGGGCTCGACCCATTAAACAGTTCAATAGGCTACGTCTAGCTTGTCTGTATTATATTCACTTCACTGTCATTTGTTAACTCGTTTAAGTCACTCAGTTTACAAGGGAATATAAATAGAATTTAGAAAATCCTAACTACTGTGTAAGAAAATTATAATATGTCAGAGATCCTCAACAGTATTAGGCCTCTAAGGGGTTGGAGGCACTATCCCCTAAACCTCCAAAATGGTGACTCCCCTGGATCCCCTCCCGCTCATCTAGAAGCTGGATCCCAGTTACCTTTCTGTTGACTCCGATAATAAGAAGAACCATCATTAATATGCAAAATATGAACCATACCCAACAAAACGGAGAGCGTGATTGGCAATTTCACCCAAGAGTATTGCAATTTGCACCCTACATGGAAATCTAAGTTTGTTTCCGATTGGAGATTTAATTTAATATTTACTTTCAACATCATTTTTCTCCCAAGTTTTATACTTTTTGAGTATGACATAATAAGTGTTTTTTCTCATTGATTATATTTGATTACCGGGAAGGAGGATTGTTTTTGGATTATAGGCTCATAAAATTAAGAATTAATTTCTTGCTAATATGTCATGTTCTTTTAATTTATACACAAGTTCATAACAAGTTTCAGCAATGATGAAAATTGCAAAGTTTTATGATATTTCAATTATTATTGTAAAGAATCTTGGGATACACCACCCCAAAAGCTAGCTCAAAGGGTGGGAGTGCTCAAGGCCTTATAAACTCCACAACCAATGTGGGACTATATATCTCAACACGCCCCCTTACACAAGAGCCCATTGGGCTTGAAGAGTGGATGATGCAACAGGCCCAGCCTACCTGTGCTAAGAAATTCCACAAGAGAAAGTGGGGTGGGGGGCGGCGAGGTTTGAACCCGGGACACGAGACTCTGATACCATGTAAAGAACCTTGGGATACACTACCCCAAAAGCTAGCTCAAAGGGTAAGAGTGCCCAAGGCCTTGTAAACTCCACATTAGTTGTTCATACAACCAATATGAGACTATATATCTCAACAATTATTTTTTACTAATGTTTTGGTTAAAATAAACAATTTTATCCCATATTTCATTTAATTTAATTTTTTTCATTTGATTCATTAAAAATTCAACTAATTCAGTTCGAACAATCAGACCCACACACAGGAGCGGTTCTCTCCTAACACTATTTTTTTAATATTCTCATCACTTGAACTCGATTTGAATTTTAGTCTCAAAGTGATCGATACTTTAATAATCAGAAATTATATAATTTTTTTTTTATAAGGACCGAGACTTAAATGAATAGAAATTAGAGTAAAAAATATAAAATTTCATACTTTAAAAGTCAAAATTCAAATAAGTAAAAATCGGCATTGATATTAAAAAAGAAAAGAAATTATAGGAACAAAATTTCATTCAAATATACTATATATGCATACTTATTACTTAGCATGTATAACTGGACCTATGACTCATGTTGCGACCCAGCTACGTACCATTGGGCTCTGTTGCGAATCCTAAGCATTCAAATTCGTGATCTATATGAATTGACTTGATCGTTGAAATTCTTGCGGAAGCACCATCGGTTCACCACACCATTGTCCCTCGTATCACATAAAATAGCTACCCCAACAATCATGAACCACCTTATAAGAGAAAACCAGAATCCGTATTTCAACCGGTTGAGATAACAATAATTGAAAAATTCTTTATGTTCATATACAGATGCTATTAATCAGTGTCTAATTTTCTTGATTAATCAGTTCCTCATGAATGCCACACTTCCAGCTCCAAGGCAACCTTTGACAGATTCGTTGGGAATCTCAGTGTAACTGATAAAAATTCCGCATCGAAAATATTAGAGAATAATGTAAATTCATTATCCAATACCTTAAAATTTTTGGTTTGAGTGATTTTTTATACGATATCAGAGCGACCATAAATTCACGAGTTTCATTCTCACTGCCCTCACTTTTAAGTGAAATTAAATAAGTATAAAGTAAAATAAAAAAATTGGGCATGTGCAATATTCATGCTTCAAGACAGGCTCTTGCGTGAGGGATGTGTTAAAGAATAATATAAACTATTAAAAACAACATCATCTAACACCTTGAGATTTTGGATTGAAGTAAGTCTTTACAAGGAATAAGTTAAGCACAATACACGTAATTGAATGGACCATAAAACTAATGCCTGCAAAAAGATGTTAGAAATTCACTCAGAATGTGAGAAAATTGCATTCCGTTAATGCTTAAGCGGTCCTTACATCTGTTTAGCAGGAGGAGAATGGAGCTTTCTGAATTCCGTTCACAGGTAGGTATCTTACAGTAGTATCAATCAAACAAATAATTGGCTAGCTGAACTTAAGTTTACTAGATGAACAGATGAAAAGTGACTCGCAGGTAGAACTTCAGTTGTCTTCTCCACCTTCCAATTTTTGTAATTTCTTTTTTATACATAATCTTTGTAATTTCACTTAACTGGCTAATATGACTATTCAACAATGAGGACTAAAATCTTTCTGCATCAAGAATGTTCTCAGTTATTCGGCCTTCATAACTTACAATGGATTCTAGGTCAAAGATTATGATTAAAGCATTTTGCCTAATCTTCATCAGAATGCCATATTATAGTTTTTTAATTTAACGAGTCATACTCTTGACTGAATAGACAATTACAAAATTACTTTGTGACTATGCTTTGCAACGTGGCTAAAGCTTATATGCCGCAAGGCTTAACCGGAAAGCTGAGTTTTATTGGAACATCAATCCAACTGGGAATGTTTCACAATTTATTAAGTGTACAATTAAATATTTTAATGGGCTTTAATGTTTCTAAAATGAATGTAGATAAGTTATTTACATTCGACGTCGTTTTAGATTGAAAAATTAAAAAAATATAATGAAAAAGACTATTATAACTCTAAAATAAATTATTATTACAAAAATACCTTGATTTCCGCTTCAAAACGATGTCGTTTTGGGCTCACTGTAGATAAGTTATCTACATTGACTATAGAAAAAATGAACCCTATTTTAATTATGTATTACTCTTAATATATAGTTAAAAAATAGTTACAGGACAAAAAATAGATTCCTACAACATAATACTTATATTTCCCGTTTATTAATTACCTCTGAAAGAGGGTTATTTGGTATTGTTGGAGATATAAAATAGTTTATACACTTTTATCTGAAATTTTAAATTTATAATAAAGTTAATTTCTTGACATAAGTGGTTAAGATTTTAATTTCTTATATCAGCAAGGATGAGTTTCTTTCTAAAAGAAGAGACAGATAGGATAATAAAATGGCCTAGGACTTTTAACCTAACTCCCACACCACTTGTAACAAATTAAGTAGTTCAAATCTACTATGGCCATGATAGAACATTACTTCAACAAAAGATGGAATAAAATAATTTCAAACTGCCATAGGGATATGATAAAATATTTTGATCAAATCAAATTGAGACTGAATGACAAACATGTTATATAAGTTATATGCACTTATTATCCATTATTTGCTGATATACCCTGGGCGATGTGAAGTCGTTGAACTCTCATCTATGAATTGAGACCAAAGCTCACGTTGGCGCAGACTTATTATTCTCTGGATTTCCATGAATTTAAAAGATCTTTAAAAGATATTTCCTTCTTTATTTTCTGCATTTTTTACTCTGGTAAAGAGCTAGTCTCTATTGTTTTTTTTTTTCAGTAAACATAAGTTAAACTTGAAAATGATTCTATTTTATCATCATGATCCTGCTAAATGTGTTGAGACGTATATAGAAAGTAAAAGTCAGGATGCATCCTCTGTGCTAGTTTATGCTCATTGCCATGGAAAAATATAATCAATATAGTAATTTTTAATTGCAGACAAAAAATAAAGACTTGCGAAATTTTCCCCTTTTATGACATGCCACCATGCCATGTAGGTAGTTATGTTGGCTTCTGTCGGAGCACCAAAATGCTTAATTTAACTTCTATAGCTATGAATTGAATTATCCAATTGAATCTACTCTGGATTAGTCTTATTGCTTTCGGAGATAACAAACTTATTGGCCCCACAATAACCGAATCGCTTCATAAACAAGCAAGTTCTGAAGATGAGTCAAGGAAATTATAATTAACTATTAACTTATACAAACTAGGGGAGTTTTTTTATTCTTAATATTTGTACCTATCTTACGGGCAAATTATGCAGATTTAAATAGTTGTGAATGGGAAATGAAATTAAGCTTGTAGTGTGCTACAGCCTACAAAAAAACAAAATCAAAGCAGGGGATAACGCAATGCAATTCTGGAACGCATATAAGTCCTTTTCATGACGTTAGGTATGAAAACAGAGAAATTTTTTAGATTCCATTATTTGTGGTCTAAGAAAATATTTTACACGTTAAGGTTCACTTACTTTCTAAGCCATGGTTTGTATTAAACTCTTCGGTAGTTTTCATACCTCAAGAACTTGAAAGAAAAGTTAGTCGTAAGTTTCTAGATAAAGCAGACTTGCGCCAACTTGCATGCACTTTGATTCATTGTAGTCCCACACGCACAACAAGAAAGGACAAGTAATCCATTACCTTTTGCTACCCTCAAACGTCATATAATCTTGTCTCTTCTTTGAGATAAAAGAAGAACGGAGGTAGTGGGTACTATTCTATCTCAGGAAATTAGGAAATTGATACAAAGGTACAAGTGTGTATACAAAAATGTTCCATCCATCTCTAAATCTTCCACTTCATTTTAGGGTCAAAGTAGTGAAAATACTAAATGGACAAAAATCAACCAAAATAACAGAATATGGGAAATTTCACATTTTATCTATACATAACAATAATAAATGATAATAATAAAGAAGAATCAAAACAAGGGAACGCGTATTTGCCAAACTTTAATGTCACAATCTAGACTACCACTGTAAACCAGATAAGAATTACTATTATCATCAGGTCCACCATTATTGGCACTATTGGAGTCAACTGCTATAGCCAAGCACTTGATTGGTCGTCTATGACCTTCCAACACACCCAGGCAAGAATAGTTTTTCTCAAACCCTCTCCTCCATATCCTAACAGTGTTATCAGCGGATCCACTACACACCAAATCTGCCACCACCACCAAACACAATATAGCCTTTGTGTGTCCTCTCAGAGCACCCACAAGCACCATATTTCCATCACCATCATTTGTCTCATTACTGTCATTCTCCCACACTAAAATTGATCTATCACAAGCACCCGAATACAACACTGACCCATCAGTGCTAAGAGCAAGGGCATTCACTGCTGATTTATGTTTCTCCAAGGTTCCCAAAAGGGAATGCTTTTTCTCACCCTCATGCTTCTTCCATATCTTGATCCTCTTATCTGCAGAACCTGTGTAAACAAACCCATCACTCGACAAAGCCAAGGCATTGATTGCATCATCGTGTGCGTTTCTCACAGACTCCAAACACTTGAAATCCGAGGTTCGCCAGATTTTGAATGTCCTGTCCCATGAAGCTGAGTAAAGTAAAGACCCGTCCTTGGACAGAGCAAGAGCAGAAACAGTGTCATGGTGATGCACCCACGTGCACTTCTTGTGCCTCCGAACCTCAACGTAGTTCTTGGAATAAAACAGCTTGCAAAACCTGTCTTTGAGGGTGGGAAGTGTGGCTATGCATTGATATCTCTGGTTTCGATTATTGGTTTCGATTCTCCAAACTCGGATTTTGTGGTCTTGGTGAGCACTGAATAACATGTCACCAAAAACGATTAAGGACTTGATGGCTCCATTGCTGAATGCCACCATGTTGTTGGTGTTGCTTGAGCTTTGCAGAGCAAAAGGGTCTCTGCTACAACTCCTTATCTCGCTGCTGGAAGAACCGCTGTAGAGGAATTTGCCGTGGAGAGCGAGGGAGAAGATGGGGGAGGAGTGGCCTTTGACGGTGGTTATGAGTTGGTGGTGTGAAGGTTGGGGTTGTTGTGGATGGTGAGATGGTGGGGTGAGGGAAGGAACAGAAGGTAGACTTGGCTGTGAAGAAAGAGAGGAAGAGGTTGATGATTCTGATTGACGGTGATGGGAGTGAGCTTGTGGTTGTTGGTCCTGTGAGTGGCAACATAAGGGACATTGAAGAAGTCCCATTTTTTTTCTTTAAAGCTTGTTTTGTTGGCTTTCCCCCCTCTATTCAGGCTGAAATGTTATGTGGGGGTGGTTGGGTTTTATAGAGACATGTGCATGTTAGTAATTTAGAACTAGGAAACTGCGCATGTTAGCAATTTTCAATTGGGCATGACCAAGTTGTTGTCAAATGACACTTTACACTGTTCTTCTCTCCCCAATCTAATGGGTTATTTAAGATTTTCAAGTGAGTTGTTTACTTTGATTTAAGTCTCCTTCCAATCAATTTAAGCATAAAACGTGTCAAGATGGCTATTTGGCTTCCTTGACCTTGTAACCAAAATATAAAAACGAGGACTCAAATTAAATTGGGAAAAAAATAATTATATTAATTGGGTCAAAAAGTTAATGGGTCAAACTGGAGAACAAGCAGAGAAAGGATATCCCTATGTGAATTTGATCTGAAATTTGGGAAAATTAATGGGCCAATTCTTCCGAATTGCTGGCCCCAGGGACAAGTTGGAAAAAACTTTCCAGCACACAAGATTGGTAATCTGTGTACTGTGGAGCTTTGCGATGTCACTAGCTGGTTTTGATGAGATCAAGCTAGATGATTCCACAAAAGAGGGTAAGATACAAGTTGGGAACTTTCCTCACCTTCCTTTTTTTTTCGAAGTTTAGCTTTTGGGTCCATATGGGATTTGAGAGCTGCTAAAAATAATCATATCAAATGTATATAAGGCCTGTCTGGTGCATGATCATTAACAATGTTTTTATATTGGTTCGCTACATGTATGTACATCTGGTTAGGGACCCAGACGCTTAATATTTTAGCTCCACCAGTTGCACGAAGCGTGTAATAGCTAAGTTGGATTGTTATTTAGTATAGTATACATCGATCGTAGACTATAATATACTCCAAGCCCATCGTTCTGTACAGATCTACGAAATGACTAGTGGAAATTTTGTATTTCTCAACGGACTTGATCCGGCAATTATACAATTCCCTATGGAACTAGCTATCACATAAATTTTGTATTTCTTCGATGACTTCTTTGCTATTTTTAGAGGGTGTTAATCAAAAGGCAATTTCATTCCCATAAACTGGAGGACTCGTTGATTAGGAAATCGTTTTATAAAATTTTGAGTAAATACTCTTTTTTTTTTGTCTTCAACAAATTTCACGATACCGCTTTAGTTCCTAGCAAATAAAAAAGCTATTCGTAATCGTGGTTCCTAAAAAATTCAAAATGTACCCATTTCGTTGAAATTGTGGTCCCTTACAAATTCAAAAAAGATCCACATTAGTCCCTCAAAAGAACTAAAATGAGTCCATTTTGAATTTCTTAGAGACCACAGATAACCTTTTTATTTGCTATGGACTAAAGCGAGTATCGTAAAATTTACTGAGTACCGAAAAGGGTATTTACTCTAAAATTTTCATACTATTAATATATATATATATATATATATATATATCATTATTATTATGATTTTATTTCTATGCATCTCATGGTCAACACCACGGAACAGTGACCAAAATGTCACTGTTCTCCAATTTTTTTACCTAAATGTTACGCCAACAGTTTTATTTCTTAATATGCCACGTAGGCAAAATCGTTGGGCACTGTAGTGAACTCAGTTTGCTGATGTGTCACGTTCCTAGTGGACACCAAGTTTATAACAACTCTAACCTAAATTAAATGCTCAATTACATTGGGTTAATTATTTAATCATATATAATCAGATTAATTAAGTGAGAGGCTTAATATAAAGGTTAGATTAAATATTAACTAAACACATTATAGAAAAATAAGTGAGAGTACTTAGTTCAATCAATGTGAGCCTAAGTGAGTGTTTTGTGGTAAAACGATAATTAGCCAAATTACACTGGAACCGTAAAATAATGTTATGGGATATTATTTAATGTCATTAGTAAATATTATAAGTCACATTAGATGGGTAAAAGTGGTATTATGATTTAAATTAGATGAAGGGACACAAGGGGCATTTGAGGAGATGTTGTTTTATACTTTATGAAAGTTAAAATTAAGTCATTGAAGACCCATTTCATCTTCTCCTTCGTGTGGCTTCTTGAGAGACCAAACCCCATTGTTGTTAAGCTCCAAAACACAACTCTCTTAATACTCAATGAAATGACTTGATGTTTGAAGCAAAGATGCTTGGTTTTTCCTTCTGAATGTAACCTATAATCCAAAATCTTGAGAAATCAAGTGTGTGGAGAAAAAATCCCTTGAGAAAGTGGTGACCTATTGTTGATTAGGTGTCTTGGAGCGGTCCATTGTGTAACAGCCCCAAACCCTGTAGCATGATATTATCCGTTTTGCCCTCGGGCTCACGGTTTTGTTTCTTGGGACACCCCACAAAAGGCCTTACACTAGAAGAGGTATCCACACCCTTATAAGGCATGCTTCATTCCCCTCTCCAACCGATATGGGACATTACATCCTCCCACACTGGGAATACAGCGTCCCCGCTGTACACACCGGTCCAGGGCCATGCTCTGATACCAAATGTAACAGCCCCAAACCCTGTAGCATGATATTGTCCGCTTTGCCTTCGGGCTCACGGTTTTGTTTCTTGGGACACCCCACAAAAGGCCTCACACTAGAAAAGGTATCCACACCCTTATAAGGCATGCTTCGTTCCCCTCTCCAACTGATGTGGGACATTACACATTGCTTGAAGTGAGGCTTGGAATCTCTTCCTTGTGTGATTCTAGGTAAGTTAGTGTTAAGAAATCCTAATTTCCTTTGAGTTTAGTGGAAGATTAATTTCTAGGTTTTCTATGAAAATGGGTCTTTGAATGAGGTAGTTAGAGCATGATTGAGGCTTAAGCCAAATTGGGAAAAGTATTTAGATGATTATTTTAATAGTGAAAATGTATTTGGATGATCATTTTACTCATCTTCATCAAATTTCGAAAATCAGGCCTAGATAATGTGAATTCTTGCATTTCAAGTAGTGTGACTTGAATTGTTGGTATTGATTGTGTTCATGGTGCATCTAGGTTGGAGGCCAGTGGACCTATCTTGATTGATCAAGTATTGGAGGAACCAATGGAGCTTGATCTTGTCACTTGAGATATTTCAAGTGAAGGTGAGTTCATGACTATATGAGTTATGTATAGAGTTCCTTGTGTTGGTTGTGAATATATGTTAATATTTACATGGTTGCAATTGTATCTTGTCAAGTAGGTGATTTTTGGCAAGCTATTGATTATTGCTTAGAGAGCAAACTTGTGGTTGTAGAACCTTGGTGCTTGGACCAAGCATTGGGTAGGAAGCGTTACAAGGTAAGCCTTCGGACCTTGGAAATTGATCCCTTTATTGTTCCACCAAGCCCGGAATGGGTAGTGGTGTTTGATAACGCACTAGGTGTGACATAGGATGGTGTTTCCCTATGTTTTGTATGTTGCATGACGATGCGTAATTCAGACTTGGTAGTTTAGCTGGCCAGTAGGACTATTTTGCATCTGAGTATCCTTAGGACAACAAGAGAGCTCGAGGGATGTCTTCTGGAGATGTTTGACACACTGCATGGATATGTATTTACTGCATTATTTACTGATTATTGCTATTATACTGTGAGTGAACTATGGGGTAGAGAAATGCTCCAAAAACCCCTGATTTACTGAGATGTATTCGTATATCTCACCCCGTGTTGTGGGGATCCCCTTTTAGGTACAGATGCTGCAAGAGCCTCTGGTGGCAAGTGGTCATACTTGGACTAGATTGATATATGAGGATGTTGCATTATTTTGGGTTATGCATGTCATATAGTAGTTCCATGTATAGGATTCACATTTGAAAGTCATTGATATGTGCACATCATCTTTTATTTTGGTGGACTTAGCCTATGTTCACCTCATTTTGTGCCTCTTTTGTTGATGGGAGCCAAGGATTTGATCATAGTGTTTTGTAGCTAAGTCCTAAAGTTATGTATTAAAGGCACTTGGAAATTGTATTTATTGTATACATGATGGAAGGGCATGGATGCCTATTTGATAAGTGTGTGTCTTGAAATAGCTAAGAATCATGTATTTGAGTGATGATATAATGTCCATTAGGTGAAAGAAAATCTTTGGGGTTGAGAATCAATGTAAATTTACGAATATTTTGTCTTGTTATCCATTTTTCTTATCTTATATGATAGATTTTGACTCTTGCGTCTTGATGGAAGTTATAGATCTTTTTCTTACCTTTCCAACTAGACCAAGATTGCGTCAATCAGATAAGTATAACTCAAGTTACAGGTAAGATACCAATGTAGGGTGAAATTTTCAAACCGTGGCGCTACGAGCGCCAAAGTTCGCCCTGTCAGCGCGGGACGACGCAAGGAGGGCAATGTTCCCGCGCTACCAGCGCGGGACCCCTGTGAAATTCAACACTTTTTCTTTGAAAAAATTCATAATTTGAGCAACGGTGCTTCGATTTGAGCGCAATTTGAACCTACACATAGCTAACGAAGAAATTTTGAGTCAATGTTCTTAGTAATATTTTGACCTATCAAATAATTTATTTATTTTTTGTAATATTTCCAAAAAACTCACTTTCCCAACATAATAATTCTCAGTAACAAAAATTTTTCCAACCGAGCCTCATCACATATACACAAGTGGATGGTTTTTTTTTTTTTTTTTCCGTGAAAAAAGTTATTTTTTCTTTATAAAAAAAAAAATTAGTGTTTTTTTTAGTAGTTTGGAATTTGGATAGGAACTTAAATTGAGAATATCTTTTCTTAAAGTATGAATACATGAACTTCTACAAATTATTCAAACAAAATTATTAATTAACCAAATCTAATAATTTAACAGATAACAGAATATGAACGAAATTTAATTGGGAAGTTTGTATAATTCAAGAATCAAAATATTAGTGTGTGTTTTTTGTTATTATGCACCAGGTTTATTTTATTTTATTTTAAAGTAAAGTAGTTAGACAATATAGTTCACGAAGGTTGTAAAGTAAACCCCCAGACAAAAAGACTGGAAACTCATGAACCCAGAAAATAAATAAATATATAAAAGAAGAAGAAGACAGGAAAACTCATCATGTTTTAGCGTGTTCTTCTTTATTTTATTTTATTTTATTTTTTGCATTAAACATTTTTGTCAACGGTAAAGCCCCAAGGAGAAAGCAAGGCCGACAAAAACAACGGCCCTTCATGCTAATGCTACATAGAAAACGGGCAGATCAGCCCACTTTTATGAACCCTTTCAGTTTAAGTCTGGGTTTCTTCTTATCTGGGCCACATTTTAGCCCACTCCATTGTACTCAAAACAATGGACACAAATAAGCAAATAGCCCTAATTGCTGGGTCATAAACCTATATGTATGCTTTTGCTCCATGCCTAACAAGTTTATGTGCACGTTTTGTTTAGATTAGTTTCTAGAAGAAAAAAAAATCATTTTTTTGAAAGATCTCTAATAGTATTTTGATTATTAGCTATTTTAAATATGAAATACATAAACTAAAATATGCATTAAGAATATCAATAAGTCATATTCTAATGATCCTAAAATTGATGGGAGTCAATGTTCTTATGTCTGATTTAACACGAGCATGTTATTTAAGAATATATTAAATATTTATAGACAAATGGCAATGAGAGATGAGAAAGAGATAAAAAATATTTCAACAAAGAATGAAAAAAAGATAATCATTGACTTGTCTATATATAAAGGATTGAGATCGTCATCACATGGTTATAAAAAAATCACACAAAAAAGAATCCATTTCCAAAATCGAAATTTGAACTGAATATTTGGTGATTCAATTTCTTAAGTTTTTGCATCAAGCTAAAATTACCTTTGAGTGTTTGGCTCCATATTAATTCGATTCAATCCTGACGAAGAAAGTATACAAGAGTGAATATATATTTTTTAAGAAAATAGTAATAAACTACAAATTTTTAAAAATAGAAAAAGTATATAATCTTGTTAAAGTAAGTTTGGACGAGAAATCGAAAATTAATCACCTCACGTGTTATTTAACATGACCATATCATTCCACAAAAAAAAATGATCATATTAAATTAAATTAACGATGATAATTGTGACCAAATGGTGGTAACTCAGTTGGCGCATGAGAGCTAAGCAGGTGGGGGTGTGAGTATATGTTCGAATCTCCCCAGTACCACACTTGGGAGGAGTTTAAAGCCTTAATTCTGGACCCGCTCCGAATCGGATTAGTTGCGAAGCAATAAACCGATTGGAATATTTCCAAAAAAAAAAACAATGATAATTGTGTAAATTCTTATGCTTATATTTTTTCTTATATATTTTTTTATCACCATTGATCAACCCTTATATTGTGAGAATTCTCCCACATGACATAAAGATGTTAATTAACACATAAAATGATCCATTTTCATTGAAATCATAAGAGCTCGAAAGAATAAATTTGAAACAATGGTAAATTAAGTGATATTAGATATCAAAAGAAATAAAAGAAAAAGATGAAATGTTTATAAAAGTAATTAATTTTTTAAGATTATTTATAAAAAAAAATAAAGGTGACATTCTAATTTCTCATTAAACTCTTTTAATAAAAAATTCTCAAGTAAGAAGAACATTTATTCAAAAAAAAAAAATCTAAATTAATGTTTGATTTATTTTCTATTTTTTATTCAAGATATATTTTTTATATCAACCAGTATTTGAAATCTTAATAAGTTAAATTAATCCGATTTCAAATTTGAATCTCTTCGTTTGTTTTAGAAGTTGCAACTCTTATAAATTGAACTTATAATCCTTTGGACATATCAAATCCTGAAATATTGTGTCGTTTAATACAGTTTAGATAGATCAAATCCTGAAATCTTGAATATTTAAAAGGTTTCCGTATCTTATTTTTTTATTTCTATTTTTCTTATTTGTACCTTCTTATTTACAAAGCTTTAAATACAAAAAATGAAATGAAATGAAATAAATATAGTATTTTATAATGACGAATAAAAACATAAATTTTTCTTTTTAAAAAAACACAGCCTAAGAATGTCTCTTTTCCTTTTTTCGAAAATACATATACAAACGTACCCCCTTACGTCACTAATATAACAATTTTTAATTGAAGAAGTTGAAACTTGAAACTACTCAACCAAAAATTGGGCATTTAAAAAAAATATTTTATTCTCCAGCAACCACTGCAACAATAATTCCATATAAAGAGCACTAAAGTCCAAATAAAGAAGACAACAACGAATTTTTTATAATAAATTTTACAAAAAAAAAAAATGAAGAATGCGAATCATACAAAGTATACCGTACTCGGATGAAAATGAAATCCTATACACGTAACCGTATGCCCGTACGTATAATGTGAATAACAAACAATCGTATACAAAACTACCTAACCTAACAAATAAAAAATAAAATAGAAACCTCTCTCATCTACAAAATCAAATGAGCAAATCCAAGAAACAACAGAGGGAAGAAGAGAATGCCGCACGTGGACCCCACGTGACGAACACCATGGCTAGAGTCCCTCTCGCGAGAAGAGGTGGAAGATGTGCCAGTGAAGTTAGGGTTAGAACCATAGAGCTTCTGAATCCCCTCAACATCATCGTCGGCGAGCTCCACCTTCCTCGTCCGCGACGTTATCGTCGGGTACATGATAGCCTCTTCCACCGACGAGTGCCCTAAACCTAACAAATGCCCAATCTCATGCACCGCCACGGATTCAAGATCCACCGCATTCGATAGCGTCGCTTTTGTCACGTCGCCGGTAACCACCCAGTCCTCCGCTTTGTCCAAATGGAACCTTCCGTTCGTCGGCGAGAACGCGTGCGCCAGCGTCCCCAGCACTCCGTCGAACGGTTCACCATCCCCGTGGTCCCCACTGTAAAACCCTATCTTAATATCGGCGTCCGAATACGACGCCGTTTCACGGAATGTTATCGTCGTTACTTCAGACCACCGGTCGAACGCGTTAGCGAACACTCCCTTGGTGACGTCGTCGAGGTTTTCATCCGGATCGAACGCGTAGGTAAGTTCCTGTGTTCCCTCCGGCCACCGTGGCTCGTCCGGGAAGAAGGTGTAGTGCGAGACCGTGTGGAATTTCAGCGTGTCGTTTCCGGTGGAAGTTGCGTTGGACTTGCCGGAGTTCATGGTGGTTGTGCCGTTGATTATGTCGGCGACGCCGCACCGGGGAAGGACAATATGCTTTAGCGTGTCGTCGTCGAGCTCGCCGGTGACGTTGAGGTTGAAATTCTTCTGGTATGTCCGGACGGCGGATTCGAGGGCGTCGTCGAAGTCGTCGGTGAAGTTGGATGGCGGCGCGTTGGGAATGTAACCGAATTGGTGAAAGTAGTTTTTGAGATTGGAGAGGCCGTCGTACTTTTGGCCGGGGCGACAGCCGGTGAAGTTGCGGTATGCCTCCCACGCGCCAGGGGGCGCGTGGTTGCTTATCCACGTGGGGATGGAAGACACATTGGGGAATAAACGAGCTGAAGCTGAAGGTAAAGTGGTGGAGAGTATCACTATTGCGAAAGCGAAGAGTAGATAACGGTGGTGGTGAGTACTCATGTTTGGTTGCTGAATAAATGTAATGGGAGTGCTAGAAAGTGTATATTATAAGGGTATAAGCATTAAGATGCAAAGGATATATAGTTGTTATATACACGTTTACATATAGATATATATGATATGATATGATATGATGAGAACTTTGGAGTGTTCGTCAACAAAATATTTGGATGGTGATGCGTTGAAAAGTAGTGTGTCGTGTTGAATTGTTCCCGCGGAAAGGTAAGCAAGCACCTAGAAGATGCAATACCTGTCCAACGTCGACGTTTAGCGTGGTGTTGCTTCGCTGAGGAAAACATATGAGATTTATAGTTTAATGAAAGGACCAACACGCCGTCTTTATTGAGTTACGATGATGGCGTTGTTTGACTTTGATACTTCCCCTTGGCTTAAATGTTCTAGTTTTCTTCTTTTGATAATTATACATACGGAAGACACATTTCAGAAGGTACCTACATTGTTATTATTATGAAATTTTGTTCTTGATTAGAAGAACATGTTATTTTTTTTTTTATATTTTTAAAATCGGGCGGTCGTTCGATTAACTAAAATACTGAGTTATAATTTATTGTTTTAATTGTTATTGAATCAGTAGCAATTAAATATATATTTAGTGATATAAAATATATTAATTAATAAAATAACATAAAATTATAAAAAATCAAATTAAGTAAAATTTTAAATTAACATGAATAAATTATATCAGAAGTTTTGCAAGATTAAAAAGGAATAATAATAGAAGGGTCTTCCATGTTAGTTTAGAAGACCCGATAGAAGGGTCTTCTATTTTAGTATAGAATGATGTATATGTTCTCTTTGCACCTATAATTTTTTCAGTTCTATGATGTACTGAGATTTCAGTATATTTTTCACTCACAATATGATATATATTTTGTTTTTATCAAAATTATTAATAAATTTATTTTAAAATCAAGTGAGAAAGTAATTTAACAAAAAATAAAATACGTGTTATAATATGAGTGGAAGATGCATAAAAAAGTCAATATATTTATAACACCGAAGATATTCTCCCTTACCAGATCCAAATATGGCCGTGATTTTACTGAAATCCGGAGGAAATTAAAGTACTTATTTCCGAGAGTAATTAGAACAAGTGAATCTTAACGGTGACTGCTTCCACTTTTAGCTACAATATAATGATTGAGAACGACTAGATAGTCATGTAGCTTCAGTTTCATGTATATTATCATGCTTCAGATGTAATCTTATGAAATAAACACAACTGATCAGCCATAATAGGGTGAAGGGAAAGTGTGGCAAAGGAAATGCTGTAAGTTGAATTACATGATCAGTTAATAACTATATCTAACGGTGTCTGCATGAATTATCTTTTCTGAAGCCTTAGTGACATCTCATAGATTTTTTTTCTTTTTTTTGGTAAACAAATTTGTTTTAAGTCCTTAATTCACATAAATACATCTAGGATTAATTAATAGGGAAAATTTCAAAAAAACCCTATAACTTTTCTCATAATCATTTACCCTCTCCCCAAAATTTTGAATCATTTACCTCCTGACTTACAGTTTTTTATCATTTACCTCCTTAAGTGAGGGGGGTAATGATAATTTTTTTTTTTTTAAATTAGGAGGGTAAATTATAATTTTTTTTAAATAGGAGTATAAATGATTCAAAAAATTTGTGAGGGAGTAAGTGATAATTGAGAAAATTCATAGGGGATTTTTTGAAGTTTTCCCTAATTAATAAAATAGCTTTTAATAAGTTTTTTTATTTATATATTTTGTCACGAAAATTCCAAACACAACTCCTTAAACCTTTTATATATAATAAACTAATCATTTTTAAAATTAAATTAATACGTACTGTTGTTGTTGTTTTACATTTATTATTATTTTTAAAAATAAATTACATGCAAAAAGATAAAGCTTAAGATTATTTTTTATTTTTTATTTTTCTCGTATATCTTTTTTGTTTTTCTTATATTGTTCTTGTCCTATATAAGCTAGGCATCTAGGTGTAAATAAATAACCAATACATATACTTTGACCAATTCCTTACACAGGATAGCTTATCCAGATGCTGTTTTTTTTTTTTATCTAATCTGATTCAATCGATTCGAATATTGTTCGATCTATATTATGAGCAACTTTTGTAATACTGTTTTCTTTATTGTCACGATTCGAATTTAAATCTCAAATTACAAACGAAATTTACTACTTGAATCAAGAGGTGTTAAAACAGATTGACAAGATATATGTGAATTTGACACGATACGAATACACATAATATGAATACGACACAAATTTTTATTCGTGTCAGAATCTTCAACACGAATACGATACAAATTTTTTACAAAAATAGGTCAAAATTAAAATTAAAAAAGAAAAGAAAAAATATATGGGTCAAATTTATGTTGACACGATACGAATTTTTTGTGGGTATATATTTCTCCCGATATCCCCATAAGTTTTGACTCTTTAAGTCGATTATGGAACTAATCTGGAGTGGGAGCGGATCAGGGATGAAGATATTTAAACCCTTTCAAAAGGTGGCATGTGAGGATGGAACCGAGAAATTTCATAGTTGACATGTTATATTTTGTGCTTAAATTATGTCTAAGTCAAACTATTGGAAAAACTTATAGGCTTAGTTTTGTTTTTGTTTGAAATCATCAAGAAAGACATATACACCTTTTGAAAAAAATGATAATTACTTTGTCATTTTTGCATCTAATAGCATACCTTTTGAAATTTTGATGACCAATTGACCAGCATACTTGTATACTCATCGACATCATATTGAATCCTCCTGAATAGAGTCATGAAGTATGTCACTGACACGTCATTTGTTCCCATGCTTAGGATGAATATGCTTTCTGCTAGAATGTGAGTTGTCCTTTCTTCTCCCACAGCTCCCTTCAACTTTTCAATGTAATCTTTGAACATCTTTAGTTGATCCTCGAAGGACAGCACTGACTGATACATCAGCAATTAGAAAACTGGTTACATTGTATGCTTATAAACATACTAGCAAATAGAATTAAAATTTATAAGAAGAAAAGAAAAAGGAGGGCGAGCCTTGCAACATGTTGCTTCTTTGTGACCAGAAAAGATCATGAGTTAGTATGAGAAATAGTCTTTTTGCAAAAATACAAGATTAAGAAGGCATATAATTGACTCTTACTCTTACCCTCGAAAGCCAAGGAGTTTTATGTATCGGATTTGCCCTTTAAACCGAAGAAAAGAAAAATGAGGTTAAGGTATATAAGGATTACTGTTATGATGTTTGTAACATTATCATATCCTGCACCGAAGAGGCAAAATTCACACCCGTTAAGAGGTCTTGAATCTGCAAATTTGGATCAAGGTAAGGTGGCAGGAGCTCCTTAACACCAAAATTTTCAGCTGAAAATAATATAAGAATCCTTTAGCACAACGAACTATAAGTACTGTCTACACTGTTTAACCAATCGGTTGAACATATATGCATTAGTTAGAACTACCAAAAAAGTCTGAAAGCATCCTGCCATTGCTAAACCTTCCTGTTGGTTTTCCTCCATTGAAATCCCTCCCGTATGTTGGAAATCGACAACATACAAATTGAAAACGGAAAAGAAAAAGAAAGAGAGAGAATAGACACAGCGATTTATCCTGGTTCACCCGATTTAGGCTACGTCCAGCTTGTCTGTACTATATTCATCTCACCGCCACTCGTTACAAGTCACTCAGTTTACAAAGAAAATATAAATAAGATTAGAAAACCCTAATAACTATTCATGGGCCAAAGCCCAAACTGCTAAGAAAATTACAATAAAACAGAGCGGGACCCCAGTTGCCTTTCCGCTGACCCCGATAATTAAGGCCCTCATCAGCATGCGAAGTATGAGCCATACCCATTGAAATTTGTCTTGATTTGTGTGTTTATATAATTGTTGTTTCCAGTATCCAAAATTGAATCACCAAACGCTATCACAGCAGGAACTGAGAAGTTCATATTCTTAGGCTGTGATATGGCTGTGGCAACAAGTGGATAGAAAATTACGTTGGCATGAGCATAAAACAGAACTAGACGAGGACAGACATGAGCGAATTTAAGAGTTGAAGGCATCATGGTGTGATTTAATTTTGTTCTTCTGCTTCAGCCTTCAGATTAAAAATTTATATATGTAGGGACAGTCATGTTTGACATATTTGTAAATTGCGACTGTGTAAACATTTACTTGTAGTTTTAGATATCATTCCTCTCGCATTGAACATGTGAACCCAAATTTGTGTTTCATGACTTCACGATTTCATTTTATGTAGGTCCCATGGGAATTGCATGAAGGAGCTATTAAGAGTAAGAAAAACAACCCGACAATTATATGAACATGCAGATGAATTTGACGTAACTAATTACTAATTTCCTTTTACGTGAAAAATTTCCGAATGTTATGTCAACTTTATATTGTGTTGTGATTCATGGAATCATTTGCATCAAATAATTGGTGTATATAGGCTAATTCAGAAAGGAATAACTGTCCAATATATTGGGCTAGTGAGTACCTATAAAAGGTATATATAATTAACGGTAATGAATGTGTCTGATTACCATATTCTAGAAAGGACAGTACTTCTGCAAATCTGTGGTGTCTGACAAATAAAAAGAACTGCAGTCCTTCGAACAGTTCAGATAGATAGATACAGGTGTATACATTATAGACAGTTTGGGCATCCTTGGCTAATACAATGCGTGAGCAGCGAAAAGTGTGAGTTCTCTTTTTGTGATGAGTTATAATGATGTTATATGCCGAGGCATTAAAATGCCAGTGTTGGATTACTTGGGCCAAAGGAGGTAAGAATGACATTATGACATTGTCTTGCTCTTCTGTTGCACTAGAGAAGGAAATGGATATAGGCTTGCCAACTTCTACAGTAAAGTAAAAAGCATGCAGAACTTGGAAAAGAAGGGGGTACCTACTGTTTAATCTCATATGGATTAAGGTTCAAGGCCCTTTAAATATGATCCTTCTTTTCTACATTTGCAATTTTAAACTTCTATGATATAGTCAACGTAGAGCGTTGCTCATTTAAACATGGGGAGTAAGCAAATGCCGTCCATAAAATTGATGGATCCTCTTCGCCCAAAAATAAGAGGGGAGCGGAGGAATTTCGAAACAGAGAAAAAGTTAACAAGAGGGTGCATCAAAAATCACTTTCCCATTGAAACCATTGTACAGTGATATTCATACACCATTTTTATTACACTATTTCTTATGTTTTCTTAAGCGAGGTAATGTAAAAGAATTGTGCGTAAGAATGAAGCGCAATAATCATTAGAAGGGTTTTGCAGTTTGAGGCGTCTAATGAAGGATTGCTAGTCATAGTAGGGTTAGAACATGGCTTAACATGATGAAGAAAAAACGCCGCTCCAACTCTAATTCAGAACTACGAGTTCAAGCCATACTGTTTATAATGACCTTCATTGACATGTTTTCAGACAAATTGAGATAGGAAAACATATTAGGGTTCATCACGAAACATAGGTAATTATCATCCAACAGTTGATTGAAGTTTACAATATCACACCATGCCCCACCCATATAAATTCTTATATACAATGCTCCAAGTCGCGACTTATAAGGAAAAAGTGAAGTTACACACTGCACTTTCTCCCGCGGTTTATAGACAATTCCACAATAGTAAACTATTAGATACCTTAAAAGTTACAGATAACAGGCAAATCCAAAAAACAGAAATGACGAAGAGATGGATCTAACATTGCGAGGGCCTATCATAAGTTGGAGGAAGGGAAGGACAGTGCTCGTTCATACTGGCATATGGGTCCAAAGTGTTATAGCCAGGCAATTCCATCCTATATTCACCAAGAATCTGGCAGAATGGAAGCCGGTCATTCTCATTGTTGCACCATCTAGGTAGGCGTGTTTGATTATCCTCAAAAATCCTAAGCATGTATGCATCACGAATCTGCAAATAAAAGCATAGAAACATAAGAAAAAGCAATTATTAGGACTAAAGGTTCATCGAATCATTGGGCAGCACGGCTTACAGTGAATTCAGTTACTTGAATGGAGCTAGAAATGGGACCGAAAATTCCAGCCTCTTTATACATAGAAAGAATAAAGGCAACACATGTTGTTGATTTCCCATCACTGTATACCCATTCATCTTGTTCTGGAATGGTAAGTAATTGATCAAAAGCTATCCCACGCTTCTCAGTCTCAACTAGAATGTCATGCAAATCCAAACCCTGAAAGAATAAACAAATGAGATCTCATTAACTACAAAATAATAACCCAGTCCACGGTATAACAAAATATGCCATCCGGGTTCCAGCAATCCTGATAATTATAATTTATAATTAAAAACGTGATATATTCAATGAAATTTGTGATGAAGAACTATTTAAACAGTTGATGCTCAGTAAGAGCAATATAGAAGCATTTAAGAAATTTATATAAAAGCTAGAACACCCCGCATACATCATTGATGTACAACACGTAAATTTAAGCCTAACCAATGGACTTTTGAAAAAAATTCACATTTGAGAAAACCACTTCTATATTGAAACAAGGTCAAGCTTTTCATAAAGGATTCCTCATAGATCAATTTTGCATGCAATATAAAAGGGAAATCCTGAATTAAAACTAAAAGCCATGTAAAATTTACATCTTGAATCTTTTGTAATTTGTCTTGTCATCAATGTAAAAAAAATACATAATAGCACCAGAAACACTTTTTAAGTCAATGGCAACCTAAAACTCAAAGTACAGGGAACGTCCACTTCTTGTTTTGAATGAGAATTGTTCCACATAAAAGTAAAGAAATCAAAGGACAATATATACATAAAAAACATCTTTATATTGTAAACCAGCATCAAGATATACATACCTCAGTCCCTAACCGCTTATTTAGCGCTTCATTCCACATGTTTGCAGCATAAGCTGGCTGCATTCTTGTCCACATAGACATGACAGAAATTACCTGCACAGAACATGTCACTCAGAAACAGACTTCCATTGCTCTTTGAACTAGAACCTACAATATTAATAAGAAAAAATTATGAAGTAGATGTTTCATTTGTATCAGACCCAGAGGGGCAAATGAGGGGTGGAGATTAGTTGCTTCAAAAGCACTGTAAGTTCAGCATTGCAGAAAGGTATGCAAGAACAAACAATCTTTTTTTTCTTGTAAAACAAAGAGAGAAAAATATATATCACCACCGAAGCAGCAAGAATAACATAACCTAAATCCTTGAAGTCCAAATATTCCTTACATCTCATTGCCATATTTCCATTCTCTGTCTCTTAATAATAAGTTTCTTTCTGAAAGGCCTTTATACTAACTATTCTTCCCTAAAATAGAAAGCCAGTCAAGATTCAAATTTGCTTCTAAGCAATCAGTTGGCACTAACTCCCTTAGTAAAATAATACAGTAGCTTCCTGGTAATACAGCATACAAATGCTAATTCAATTGCATACTAATGTTACTCTTGCAAAAATAAGGAAAAGATTAATACCAAGTGAGCATCAAGAGGTGGAGGATAGTTGTCAGTTACTGTGTCGATCCAACTGAATATCATATTGTGATAACCATATGGCTTGCCAGACATGCTCCGAGCATACTCCCATGCTGCAGTGTTGTTGAATTTTGCACGCAACTCAGGATGCAGAGGAAGCAAGGCTATCTGTGGGTTGGAACTATCTTTAAGAGCCAATTCCCACCATTCATGCCATGGAATTACCACTATTATTTCTTCACCCTGCACAAAGACCGACCATCAATGTTTTATGTTAATATAATCAATAAAAAGAGGATGGAAGTCAGTCACTACACTCAGCAACTATGGATCAATTACAAAATTCACAGTTACTAGGCACTAAATGATGATGATATGAAGTTATGAACATTTTCAGAAAGAAAACCAAAACTTGATAGGAACTCTATAACATGTATAGATGTGTGTGTGTGTTGTGTTGCACACAGACACAGTAAAATCTTCCACATTCTATACCTTTTCATTCTCATGCCCAGATTCCCCAACCCATAAATTGCCCATTTCATCCTTCAAGCAAACTGCTGTATGACCAGCAAATGCACCAGATACCCACTTTTCTAGTGTCTCAAAACCTCCCCATCTACCACGGATCTTTGATACAGCTAAAAAATCTCCAGAATGAACATCTGCAGGGTCAATAGTTGCATGCCAAGGCTGACTGCGTTTCTCAAATGTAGCTCCCATGTGTTTCTTTAGGAACTCTAAATTGGCATTCTGACCCCATCCAGTATTAGCGAATAGAGGCAAAACATCGATTAAAGAAAGCAACGTTCCTAGCATCCCCGATGGCATGAGAAACACAGAAACCCCATGCTGCTTTACCTGTATAATTTAGTAAGAATAGTATCTTTCAGAAGTTAGGATTCAACAATAAAAAAGATTAAAACAGAACAGAAAACTAAAAACAAATACATATTCCAACTCTGCAGGCTCTTCCCACGAATCAAACTTCAAGGTGTGTTCTCGAGCAGAGAAGTAGTAGTCCCATGTAATCCTGTACGGAGTTGCAAAAACATAAAGATCCATGCAGGTCCAGCTGTGTGCATCCGCTGTCTGTAAAAGGCCAAAAGCTATCTTTTCAGCATAGCAAAAAATATGAAATTAACAACCCATATTACAAATGGGGTGTGAGACAAAAAAGAAAACATATACTTAAAAATTTATAATTAACCAATCCAACCTACAGCTGCATCCAATACCTGGTACTATCAAGTATCAACTAGACTCAGAGTAAGAGAGAAAAAAACATATGTTTGCACCAAATTTACAGTTACACAAAAGGCAAGCAGGTACAAAGGGTTAGACTAATAGGCACTCATCAAAAACACAAAGTAATAATGGTTCAATTTATATATTCTCAACTACTATCCAAAATAGATGATCATACTGTCAGTGAGCAGTAGGCCACGAAATAAGAACACAAAATACTGTTTTTCCAGAATAGCATACTTTCTATTTATAGATACACAAACAAAACACGTGATGATGAAAACACAGTTCAATTCATCAATTGTGACTAAGACACAGTATGATCAAAGCAAATTAAAAATAATAAACAACTAAATCAAACCTTGAGATAGAGAACGGCACCACCCAAACCCGAACCTTCGCTGTCACCGGCGGTGAACTCAAGCTTGGCTTCATTATCATAAAAGCAAGCACCTTTCCACTGAATAGAGCCATTGCTGGGACTCACCGACCCAACAAAAGAAGGGAGCAAATCGACGGCGCTGTGGAAATTGTTGAGAACCGGCCACGATATCCCGTGCGGCAGAACGGGGAGCACATCGTTGACTCTGAAGGGAACCTTGAGAGCGTGGCCAGACAACGATAAACCTAGAAACCAGAGCACGAGAAGAGGAAACGGAGACATGGATTTGAAATTGGGAGTGGATTTTCAGGGAATTATGTCCATTTAGGGGTTAGGGATTTCTGGGAGTGATGAATTAGGATTGGGACGACGAAGACGGAGACGCTGAGAGTGTGATGGTGGTAATTGGGGAAAATTATTCAGGATGGTTGCGGTGCAGGTGGGGACTCACCAAAGATACGTGGCATGCATGGAATATAAAAAATGTGATTCAATTGGAATTGACGCCAACTGTGTTTAGAGGTCGTTTATTTCACCTTAAAAAAAAAAAAAAAAAAAAAACTTTTATCACTTCTTTATTTTAAATAATTTTTACAAAAGTTAAGCTATTTATATTTTTATAAAAATATTTAATTTTTAAAAAAAATATTTGACTTTTGACTTTTACTTTTTTTAGAAGTTAAAATTTTTAGCTTCTGAAAAAAGTAAGTTTTTGACTTTTTTTGTGACTTCTCCTTTTTTTAAAAGCAGACATTCAAATAAACTAAAAACGAGAAGTGTTTTTTTTCTTAAAAAAGAAGCAGCTTTTGAAGAAAAAAAAGCTCATCCAAACAAGTCCTCAGTAATTGAAATTTGGAAAAATTTCAAAAAACTCCCTTATAATTTTTCTCATAATTATTTATCTCCTCTCCAAAATTTTGAATAATTTATCTTTTGACTTAAATTTTTTTTATCATTTATCTCCTAAGTGAGAGGAGTAAATGATAAAGAAACTTTAAATCAGGGGGATAAATGATAAAAAAAATTTAAATAAAGGTGTAAATGATTCAAAAAAATTTGTGATGAGGATAAGTGATAATTGAAAAAACTTATAGATGGTTTTTGAAGTTTTCCCTATAAATTTTGAAAGAAAAATCACTGTACAATTGTTTTAAGTTATACACAAGTAGTAGTATAAAAGTTGAAAAATACTATCAATTTCACAGAGGGGCCTTTTTTTTTTATTTCATTTAAAATAAGGGTTTTATATTTCTCATGCAACATGAGAATTGAATTCTCATGTTGTAGAGACAAAAAGCATGTGGGACCCATATGTTACAAAAAATTATATGTAAGACTTACGTTGGCACGGAAATCGAAGGGTGTGTAGAAAAATTCAAATTCTCATGTTAAATGAGAATTATAAAACCCTTAAAATAATAAGACATTTGACGAATAAGAAGTATGCAGCACCTTGACATTTTCCCAAAGGCAAAAATATGCAGCACCTTGACATTTTACGAATAATAAGACATAAGACATTTTGAAGACAGAACCCAGAAAAATGTTTGGTAGGAGGAATATTTGTAAAAGTTTGGGAAAGTGAGGTTGGCTAAATTGGAATCCAACCTTTGGTAGCCAAAAAATTACAATTCTCCCGAGAAACTTGTTTTCCTGGATTTTCATATCCTGTGTAAAAGTGGATGCAAATAGCAAGCAAAAAATACTACAGATTTGTTGGAATTGTTCCTTTCCCGGAGAAATGGAAGATTGACCGCGGAAAATGAGACCAAATTAACCCTGAAAAATTTATTGTGTTATTGTCCAGTGAAGTTTGTGAAGGAACTTTATTATGGACCACTTAGGTGGTTTCCACTCCTTGTCCCCACTACATGGAGCATCTCATTCCACCACTCTCTCCACCTGCAAATTACTCCCTAGAGGCATAATCTCTTAGTGCATTTCATCTATATATAACCCCTTATAGATAACAAAGGAAGGACTCATCAGATAACCTACACTCACATCCTATCCACCACAGGTGACTCTCACACAACCTTTGTTTATACCATCGGACTTTGGCCTAAGGTGCGTAGGTGACTCACACACACATCTCTTGTTCATACCATCGGACTTTGGCCTAAGGTGCAGGACTTCTCATTGTCTGTCATCTTTACCATAAGTTCCATAGATATAAATACTAGCTATCCTGCTAAATCATTAATGTTTATTTTTCGAACATTTGACGCCGTCTGTGGGGAGTTCATAACCACCAACTTAAGCAACATGTGAAACACCCATCAATGTTATATTCCTTGGATATCGTGAAGACCCACATTTAGGGGTGTTCAAAAAAACCAAATGATCCAAACCAATTCATAATCCGAACCAAACCAGTTTCAAAAACCGATTTTTATAAAATGGTTTAAAAAACCAATCCAGTTTTTTAACTTTGGTTTAGGTTTGGTTATCCATTTTCATAACCGTTTGGATATCCAAAATAACCAAACCATATCCATTTTTTTTAATCATTTTTTACTTTTACTTGTTAACCCTATCTTTAATATTTTGATGAATTTAACATAAATCACAGTCTTTCAAGTTAACTTTAAAGTTACAATGCTAGTTAGTCATAATATTTACTTATTGAATTCAAAGTTATAACACAACTTTACCTACTGAATTAAGGAAGAAAATATGACATAATTTAACATAGTTTAGACTAATAACAGTTAACAAGCCAATCCAATGGCTTTATCATGTCTACTAGGACTAGAAGTTTTTCATAGATGCTCTTGCAATAGTGGTTGTATATCTTCTTCCTCTACAGGTCATTCTACTTTTGAAAAATAGCCAAATTCTTTTTGTGGTTAATAGGAGAGAAAAAACATTTTCCCAACACCCCAAATTTTATACGAACAGGTTGAAAAGGAGACATTACCAAAGAGGAAAACCAAAACCAAAATGATAGATTTCTAACAGATGTGCATGTTCCAAGCCATAATCCAAAATCTCCTCTCCTTAAAAATTCTTGAGGTGTTCAATAAGATCTCAAAAAGCTTCTCCTACACAAGTTGTATGATTTATTGACCTTTTCTCTCAAATATAGTGGGCTTTCTCATGTTTAATCAAAATAGCCTAGATATTTTTAACAAAAAATAAATAGTAAAGATATTTTTTATTTTATTTCAAAAAAAAAATAGCACAACTCAACAAAAACCAGTTTTGAAGTTGTTATAAAATTTGTTTTGAACTTGATAATCGGTTTATGGTTCATAACAGGTTTTGAATTAAAATCGGTTTAAAACCGGTTTTAAATCAAAATCGGTGATGAACCACAAACCGGTTTTAAACCGGTTTAGACAAATTAAAAACCGTTTTTTTTATAAAAAAAAGTGGTTCGGTTTAAAATCCAAACTGTTCAAAACTGGTTTGGTTCGGTTTTTTACAATAACCGAACCGAACCGCTTCATACACACCCCTACCCACATTGCAGATTTCGGTTCATGGCCTAAAAAATCTGTCATCATTTCGCAAGCTCTTCAATCGATTCGGAGATCCGACAACCTCCATGTATTGTACTGTGGCAGTACTTTGTCAAAATCATTAAATTGTAATTCCTGCCCACCATACAACCAACAGCAATCAACGAACTAAATGCAGAACCCGAGCAGATGTTCATGCGGCTATTCGGATTTGAGTCTTGCTCCATATGTCTAGGGTGTGCGTGGAGCGGTTGGTAACCGATTTTAAATGGTTTAGTTTTCAAACCAAACTGGTTTTTTTTTAAAAAAATCAGATTTTAATTTTCTAAACCGGTTTAGAAAATTAAAAACCGGTTTTGATTTAAAATCGGTTTTAAATTGATTTTAATTCAAAATCGATTTTAAATCAAAACCGGTTATGAACCATACACCGGTTATCAATTTCAAAACCGATTTTTTAACAAATTCAAAATCGGTTTTTGATTAATTGTGTTATTTTTATAAGTAGTCGTTTGTTTCTCCCGATTATAGGTAATTGACCAACTATTTCTTGCAAGAATATTCATTGTTTCGGAACTCTCAGTACAAAATGATTCTTATAGAAATTATTTCACGTTGTTTTGAGAGTGATTGATAGAAGAACAGTTGAACTAATTTAAAATTATAAAAAAATTGCTCTTCGTTCTCGCAAGATTTATGTTACTTAGAGTTTCATTTGAACTGATGGAGGAAAGTATGGGTAGGGGTGTTCAAAATGTCCAAAAAGATTAAACCAATCCATTAAAAGTAATATATATATATATATATATATATATATATATATATATATATATGAGTTCGCTTTTTCTGCAGTTACTGCAGATAAGTTATCTGCAGTAAGCCCAATACGACATCATTTTGGGGCGGAAATCATGATATTCTTGTAATTTTAATTTATTTCAGGGTTATAATAGTCTTTATATTTATAATTTTTTAAGATTTCAATACCAAAACGACGTCGTTTTGGAAACAAATGCAGATAACTTATCTGCATTAACTGCAGAAATATTTTTCCCTATATATATAAAAAAATATAAATATAAAGAAATAAAACTAAATCTACAGCGTTGTCACATTGGTTACGTTGATTGACTTTTATATATATATATATATATATATATATATATATATATATATATTTATTTATATATATATATATATATGTGAACTTTTGTTTTAAATATATAATATATGAATTTACTGATTGTTTTTTCCAACACACAGTACATAGTGGTTCAGCTTTCTTTAAAGGAAAAAGTTCACCAATGCTCCTGTGGTTTATTTCAGAATCACTTATGCCTCTATGATTTTTTCTTATCACATATGCCCCTGTGGTTTGTAAAAGGGTATATTTTTTTATCACATATACCCATGTGGTTTCTTATTTTTTACAAAGCACAGAGGCATATGTGATAGGAAAAAAACCACAGGGACATAAATGATTCTGAAGCAAACCACAGGGGCATTGGTGAACTTTTTCCCTTCTTTAAAAGCTATATACTATATAATAATAAAAAGATAGAAGAATCAATTGAAATTCATTTTTACACAAACTTCCGATTTCGCAAACATTCTTTCTCTCTGCAATTTTCGCGTGAAAACAGAGCTCTTTTTCTCATCTCTGAAAAATTGTTGTTCATTCTTTAACCTGCTCCATATTTTAAAAATTGATTATTTTTAAAAATCGATTTCATATGAAATTATATTTTATTTTATAAACTGGTTATTTACCAAACCATAAAAATAATTGGTTATCCATAACCAAATTGCTCCATAATTAAAAAACAAATAAATAAATCTGTTGTGAGTTGTCTTTTTAACGATGCTGATTCATCATCTTAAACATATCGGTGATGTTAAGTCAATTGATTAATTTCGTTGCCCTTTTCGTTTATGATTTTTTAACTTCATCTTTTCCATTTCAAA